CCTCCCCTTTCACAAATAGCAGGACAGCGATACACAGGCTACTTAAGAGTCTGTCATCGCGTCGGCTGGGGAGAGTCGGCAGCCTTACTCATCCCTCTTCTGTTCTAACTGTGCTGCCCCTGCTGTCTTAAACTCCTGGGCTCAAGTGTTCCTCTCTCCTTAGCCTCCTGAGTGACTGGGACTACAGGATGCAGCACCATCTGCAGAGAGTGACATTATGAGCCCAGCGTGTTGATATGCCATAATGTATTCAGCCAGCTGCCTTCTAGTGGACTTTTGGTTGTTTCTCATTATTCCAGGTGTCTTTCTTATTTAAATTTAAAAAAATATTTTCTATTTATTTTCGGGAATTTTATACATATATACAATGTATTTTAATCATATCCATTTTCATTTTAATATGTGTTCAGTATATGTGTGTGTATACATGTGTGCATGCATATGTGTGTGTGCGCATGCGTATGTGTATGCACATGTGCATACTGTGGTGTGTGCATGTGCACACGCATGCTTGATCATGCCTCGTAGAATTCAGAGGCTAACTTTAAATGTCTTCCTCAATCATCCTCCACTTTATTTTTTAAGACAGGGTCTCTCACTGCACCTGGAACTTGCTATTTCAGCTAGATTGGTTGGCTAGCCAGCTTGTGGGACCCACCTGCCTCTGCCCCGCCCACCCCTCAGCACCAGGATCACAGCTGCAGGCCACCATGCCTGACTTCGATGTAGGCGATCTGAACTCAGGTCACATGCTTGCACAGAAACACTTTACCCGCCACATCTGCAGGCCCGCAGCTGGTTTCCCAGCTCTCTATGCTCCAGACAGTCTTGTTATAGCACTCCGTACCTACCCCACTCCTCCTCTCTAAACCCCTGCAGACACCTTCCAGATGCTCTCCCTTAGAGCCCCAGCCCATTGTCTTCAGTCTTTCCTCCTCCTCCTTCTCATTTATCTCACCATGGTTAGTCCCACCTCGGTTCTACCTGCTTCCCCAACTAGCCTACAGCAACTGAGACTCAGAAACCAGGTTTTGGACTCATCCAGCTCCTTCACGGTGCAGAGCTGGCACACAAAGGTTTTCAAGAGCATTGAGTATGCAGTGGGCGTATGGTTGGAGTATGGTTGGAGCTGTGGATGGTGACTCTGCCAGGCCATGTGCAGGTCTAAGGGCCCAGGAGCTACCCAGAGCAACGGAGGCCTCATGTCTCATAGGTCTCCAAGAACAAAGCCTGTGTCCTGTGCCTAAGGTCTAGAGCATTTGGGCCGGCCATGATGATGCCCACGATGCAATGGGGATCCTTGTGGGGCTGGGGAATCCTTGTTCCTTTCCGTTTGGACAGTAGGGGAAACTATGATGTAAAGACAAAAGGTAAAGCCGGGCGTTGGTGGCGCACGCCTTTAATCCCAGCACTCAGGAGGCAGAGGCAGGCGGATCTCTGTGAGTTCGAGACCAGCCTGGTCTACAGAGCTAGTTCCAGGACAGGCTCCAAAGCCACAGAGAAACCCTGTCTCGAAAAACCAAAAAAAAAAAAAAAAAAACAAAAAAACAAAAGGTAAAGGGATGGAAGCTTTCAGGATGGCTCAGTAGGTAGAGGTACCTGCTGCCAAGCCCCCTGGACCTACGGGCTGGAGCGAGACAGGGGACTTCTGCAAGCTGTCCTCTGAGCTCCACGGGCACACTGTGCCACAGTCAAACACACAGAGACACACAAATAAATAAGGCTTCTTGCTCTTCCAGGGGAACCATATTGATTCTCAGTACCCACATCTGGTGGTTCCAAACTGCCTGTCTAGAAGCTCAGGGGATCTAACGCCCTCTTCTGGCCTCTGTGGACATTTCCACACAGGTTGTACACAAACAAATATTAAATGATAAATAATAATAATAGATATTTTGACTGAAAAGAGGTAAGGGATTACGGGTCACGCGGCTTTGTGCACTGTCCCAGCCGGACCCTTTCCTGTCTCTGTGACATCCGTGTCTTCCTGCACAGACGGACTCTGTTCTCCATTTTTAGAAGCCTTCCTGGACTAAGCAGCTCCTGTTGACCTCTGCTCCTGTGAACTGCTCTGTGCGTTAGCCAGAGCCACTGCAGAGCTGTACTTAGTCATCCTGAGCCTGCCACCTCCAGTCACAGAAGTCTGTCTTCTGCGATCTCCAGATCCGGGTGGGATAACATCAGACACGGCCTTCCTCTTGCATAGCCACTTAACCTACTCCCTACGTGACCACTGAGAGGTCTTCCGTGATTCCTGTGTCCTATGCCTCAGAACTGCTGTGGTTGGAGGGGACAGTGTTGACCACAGGTGGCCCTCTAACCACAGAAACATCTGGAGAAAACAGTTTTTTAAAATTGTTTTTCTGGTTTTTATTCTCTTCTTGTTTGTTTTGAGACAGGACCTTGGGTAGCCCAGGCTGACCTTGAATTTGCAGTGAAGCCAACTCCTGATTCTCCTGCTTCTGCCTCTTTATGCTAGGATTCCAGGTGCACCACTGCACGAGATTTGTGTGGTTCAGGAGAACTGAACGGTCATGCACGGTCGGCAAGGGGTCTGCCAACTCAGTTCCCATGGAGTTGTTTTTAACATGACCCTCACCCCAGCTGAGACTGTAGCTCAGTGGAGAGCCTCTCCTGGCAAAGCTAGCACGTCTGAAGTTCCCAGTTCTACTCCCAACACTATAAAAAAAAATAGGTCCAGGCTGGGCAGTGGTGGCACACACCTTTAATCCCAGTATTCGGGAGGCAGAGGCAGGCAGATCTCTGTGAGTTTGAGGCCAGCCTGGTCTATAAGAGCTAGTTTCCAGGACAGGCTCCAAAGCCACAGAGAAACCCTGTATTGAAAAAAAAAAAATAAGTCTGTTCCATCCCCCCCCCCCCCAGTGTTCCTCCTGCCCTTCCAGTTTACCTGGAAAACAACGTCTGCACAGTGGCAAGCCCTGAAGGCTTGGCTCTTCTTGTCTCTTGAAGCTGAAGGGGACTTCTCAGAAATGCCACTATCATGGAAAGCAAACAAACAGGGAGAGAATGTTAAACTGGAGATTAAAGTGACGGGATGAGAAACGGCCATGTGTGGCTCTCGACTGCACTGTGGGCAAAGAGCTGAAAAATAAACGGCATCTGAGGGAGAAGAACAGTTTTGATATAGAGTGGCCAGGGGGTGATAGCGTGCTAACGTCAGACTCTATGTGTGTCTCGTGTGAGTGTGTGTGTGTGTGTATGTGAGTGTGTGTGCGCGTGTGTGCGTGTGTGTGTGTGTATACGTGCACACGTGTGTACTTGTGTGGGTGCATATAGACACCGGACATTAATGCCACATGTCTTCCACCATCACAGTTGACCTTATCAGTTTGTTTGTTTTTTAATTTTTTTTAAAAATATTTATTTATTATGTATACAATATTTTTTCTGTGTGTATGCCTGAAGGCCAGAAGAGGGCACCAGACCTTATTACAGATGGTTGTGAGCCACCATGTGGTTGCTGGGAATTGAACTCAGGACCTTTGGAAGAGCAGGCAATGCTCTTAACCGCTGAGCCATCTCTCCAGCCCTGTTTTTTAATTTTTAAAGTTACATTTATTAAGCCGGGTGGTGGTGGTGCACGCCTTTAATCCCAGCACTCAAGAGGCAGAGGCAGGCAGATCTCTGTGAGTTCGAGACCAGCTTGATCTACAAGTCTACAAGAGCTAGTTCTAGGACAGGCTCCAAAACTGCAGAGAAACCCTGTCTTGGAAAAACCTAATAATAATAATAATAATAATAATAATAATAATACAGGAAAAGAGAATCTGATGACTACAAAATGCCAAAATTTCCAATGCTATGTTCAGGCATAGTCATTGCACTGAGGATCTGACAACAGTGAGGTGACCGCACAAGATCAGGCCAATGAGGCCAGCCAACATTCCAGCAGACAAAATAAATAACTAGACCCAACCGGTAAAAAAAAAAAAAAGCCTGAAGGGGCGAAAGGATGGGCTGGGGTTGTTGGGAGAGTGGAAGGGGGAGAGCTTGTATGGATATATGTACTCAAGATGCATTGTTTATATGAATGGAATTGTCAAAGATTAAAGAAAAGATGATTTCATTAAAAATATATTAAGCCCAGCTTGGTGGCCCAAGCCTTTATTCCAGCACTTGGGAGGCAGAGACAGAAATATCTCTGTCAGTTCGATGCCAGCCTGGCCTACATATAAAATTTCAGAACAGCAGGGCTAATAATAGAGAGACTCTGCCCACTATATAGAAGATATTAATATGTACTAAAATCTCCTCGCCGGGGGAGGGGGTGGGGGGGGTGTAGTGGGGCACGCCTTTAATCCCAGCACTCCGAAGGCAGAGGCAGGAGGATTTCTGTGAGTTCAAGGTCAGCCTGCTCTACAGAGCCAGTGCCAGGATAGGTTCCAAAGCTACACAGAGGAAATCCTGTCTCGAAAAATAAAATAAAAATAAATAATAAAAAAAAGATTTCCTTATCTTTGGAGCCCTACCCGTGAAAATAGTTTCTTCCTGTGTTCTCAAGAGTGGTACAGAAATTTCTGCATGATAGCTGGCCTGTGTAGAACAGGCTGGCCTCAAACTTTGGACTATCCTCCTGCCTCTGTCTCCCAAGTGCTTTTTCTTGCTAACATCACTTTGTGGAGTCCCGATCGCTACCTTTTTGCTATTTTACAGGCATCGTTTATATTCATCAAAGTCTCTGCCCACATGTCAGAGGGTCCACAGGATGCTTGGTCAGGGGAGGTTCCTTTTCTGGGACACAAGAACCTTTTCTAAACTACCCACCCAGGTCTGCTCAGGAACGTCCCATAGAAGTAAGGAACTCGCCTCAGGCCTTTCCTGGCCCAGGGGAAAGGGGGTGGACTGGGCGGGCCCGTGGGGAACCCGGGGCAGGGGGCGGCTCTTCTCCCAGGCAGGGCGTGGGCCGGGCGAGGTCCTCAGCGCAGCGCACCGTGCCAACAATGGGCTGTTGTAGAAGGAGGCAGGAATGTGGCCCGAGGAGTTGGGCGGCGGGGCGGGGCCGGGTCCCAGCGGCAGCCTCTTACCTGTCCAGGTAGCTCGCATTTCCAGGTGAGCGGCGGCGGCGCCCGCACCACCTGTCGCGGGGTGCGCGGGCGGGGAGCGCGGCTGGGGGCCATGGCCTGGTAGTGTCCCCTGGGGAGACGCTGCGGAGTTCAGTCAGGGGCAGGACGGGGTGAGGGAGGGAAGGTCCTTCCCTCGGGGACAGAGAGGCCTGCGGCAGCATGAAAAAGAACCAGACGATGCAGGGCACCTTCAGCAAACTCTTTGGGAAGAAGCATGCCAACCCTGCCACCACGTCCCTCTACGCCACCAACCCACCCTGGATTTTCACCCAGGAGGCCCAGGAAGAGGGACCCAGGGACTTTGGTGAGTGCACCCCGGGGGAAAAAAACAAGGGAGAAATCCCGACGGCGCCTCTTCCCTCCCGACTCTGGCGTCTCTTGGGCGCTGGGAAGGCGGGCAGGGGCAGGGACACGTTGGAACCTGCGGACGGGCCAAGGAGATGCTGGGAAGGGGGAGGAGGCGTCGCAGCCCGTGTCAGAGAGGGACCCCCTAAAGCGAGGCCGGCGAACCCTGCCGCCCTCACCTGCTATCCCGGCTCCTTCGCAACCTATGGTGGGGTTTCCGTTTGTGTGGCTGTCTTTGCTGTGTCTCCCACCCCACCGCATATCCGCATTCTCTCTGAGTCAGAAGTGATCCTGAGATCTAGGCATCTCTCCCTCACCCTTTCCGCTTCCTCTGCCCCGCAGAGAGCCTGCCTCAGGTGCCCTGTATTTCGCTCTGTTTGGGTTAGAAAAGAGAGCGACACCGCAGCCACTGCTAACAGGTTGCCAGCCGTTCGCAACACTGAATTAGTTTTGTTTTGGTTTTTTTCTTCCCCTTTGGGGCTGGGGGTGGGGACCGTGTCACAGGTTCTTGCCAGGTCCACTTCGGTCTGGGTTGTCTATGGTCTCTGATTAAGGAGTCAGAGGTGGGAGAGTGGAGAGCAGGGAGCCCTAGAGTCGAGGGTTTACAAACTTCTGGAAACAAACTGGCCCTGTCCCAGGTTTGGCTATGGGTCACCTTATCTCTTCCTCGATCTACGGTTTGTATGCTCTTGAATGAGAAGAACCAGGGAAATGGGAGATAGGTATTCACTTCTTGTTTCTGAGCCATGATTCTGGGGTCTGATGAGGGAGATGTCAAGAGTATCACCCCTTACCGGGCGGTGGTGGCACATGCCTTTAATCCCAGAGGCAGGCGAATCTCTGTGAGTTCGAGGCCAGCCTGGTCTTCAAGAGCTAGTTCCAGGACAGCTAGGACTGTTACACAGAGAAGCCCTGTCTCAACCTCCCCCCCCAAAAAAAGTATCACCCCTTGATTTGCCTGCCTTCTTACCTTAAGGTCACTGCACTGGGCTACAGAGGATGTTGCAACCCCCATTGGTGCTATGGTTTGTTTGACACCCATATTACTACGTTGGGGGCCAGAAAAACAACAAGATGTCACCTCTCTCTGACCCAAAGACCTCTCACCACAGGTGGACAAAACTAGCAGTATGCCTCATGTCCTTTGTGGGCCTCAGCATGAGGAAGAGAGGAGAGATGCCTGTAGGGGACCTAGCTTCAGAGTGGAGAGGGAGGGGTGTTCCTGGCAGACCACAGGCTACAGCAAAGGAAAAGAGAGCAGGGCAAAGTGGGGGTGTGTCTTAGGAACCTGGAGCACTCTGTGAGGCCCCATCACCCACCCTTTCCTAGATGCAAGCTCCCAAAATGTTTGGTGTTGACTGGGGTTTTGTCTAGTGTCAGGTACTAATATTGGCTGTCCAGATGAGGACACCAAGGACAGGGGGGTACAGAACATGTTGAGGATCACAAGATCGAAATGGTAGCGCTGCCGTTGTCCCCGAGGGGACAGACACTTTTCAGTAGACTGCAAACTTACAGAGCAGTCACAGCCAAGCAAGTCTGACAGTTTCTAGTACCCCAGGGTCTTGCTGGTGAGAGCCAACATCTGGACCCAGGTAGAGCCACTCGCAGCAAGCTTGCAAACTTCACTCTGTAGGAGGGGTGTAGGGTGAACTGAACCAGCTCCCTGACTTCCTCTCTAAAGAGAATCTCTGAACAGCCTTCCCACTCTCCCTATTTCCCCGATGACCAGACTGTTGCTAGGCATCCGTCCTGGAGAGAAGAGGGACAGGGTACCCTGTCAGCTCTTACCAGTTTAGGCAGGGCAGGAGTCTAGGGGACAGCTCCTCCCTGTCCCCGGGGCAGGGCCGAGCCTTCAGCTGACTCAGCTAGGCTGCGTGTGCACTGGGCTGGGGTTTTGGGGGGCGGACAGTACCAACCCAGCAGGCTGGCTCTCCTGCGTTCTGGACTGTTCCCTGGGGTGCTCACAGGCCTGAGAACCCCTCCTCCTTGCTGTGCTTGGGGTTGAGGAGGAAAGCAACTGGCACTGGGGATTCTGGGATGGCAGTGAATTTGTCAGCCTTACCTGTCAGTGATAGTGCTAGCTAGCTCCCCCGGGCCTCAGTGGTTTCTGTTCAGTGTGTAGGGTGTGAAGACTGCTTAGATCAGTGGTTCTCAATCTTCCTAATGCTGCGACCCTTTAATACAGTTCCTCCTGTTGTGGTAATTCCCCCAACCATTAAATTATTTTGTTGCTACTTTGTAACTGTAATTTTTTTTTTTTCCGAGACAGGGTTTCTCTGTGACTTTGGAGCCTGTCCTGGAACTAGCTCTGTAGACCAGGCTGGTCTCGAACTCACAGAGATCCGCCTGCCTCTGCCTCCCGAGTGCTGGGATTAAAGGCGCGCCCAGCTTGTAACTGTAATTTTGTTACTGTAGTGAATTGTAATGCAAATATTTAATATACAGTCCCTAGAAGAGAGACTGACTGCCTTAAGTCATGTATATGACAACCTTTGCAAACACAAGAGGAAGGCAGCTTGTGGTGGTGCACACCTTTAATCCCAGCACTGGGGAGGCAGAGGCAATGGGATCTCTGTGAGTTCGAGGCCAGCCTGGTCTACAAAGCCAGTTCCAGGATGGCCAGAGCTGTCCTACAGATAAACCCTGTTTCAAAAAACAAACAAACAAAAAAGGAAACTGTTTTCGTGGGGCTATAAGTAGCTGCAAGAGATGTTAAACTCTAAAGTAGCTGCTGCCCAGCCTTTCCAGAAAGTTCTCCAGGGGTTCCTAAAGTACAGTTTGTTATACTCAGGTCATTGCAGCTTTTTGTTGATTTTATTGAAATGTGGCCTGCTATGTTGCTCAGAGTGGCCCTGAACTCCTGGACCCCATCGATCTTCCTGCCTCAGCTTCCTAGCTGGTACCACAAGCATGTTGCTGCCTGGCTGACTCCCACTCTGAACTTTGCCTGTCCCTGCCTACTTCATTTCCGTGTCCTCAGGTGGCTGTACTCCAAAGGAAATAGACCTGAAGAGGCCACCCCAAGGTCTCAAAGGGGTGGGGCATTCCAGGTCTAAGGGCCCCTGAGACCGGCACCTGCCGGGTTTTCAGTGCTGGGGGACGGGTAGAAATCAGAAACCCATGTCTAAGTATGTGAAGGCATTGAGCCTGCCTGGCATTGGTTACAGCCACGTCCCAGCTCCCAATCTGTTTGCACAAGGGCAGGCTGGGTTCGGATAAAATGCAAACAGGTGCAGGGGGTGATGGGTACATTTTTCTAGCCCCTGTATCTGGTGATTTCAGCCCTACTGAATGCAAGCACAGTCCTAATTAAGCCTTCTGCCTCCCTAACAAGGGCTTCAAAGGGCTGAGCCATTGTCTTTTAAGTACTTGAGAAAACAGATTGGAATCTCCACAGATCTTTGTAGACTCCTTTGATAAGAGACTGGGCCACAAAAGCAACTGCTGGAGCACCTTGTGACCAAGCTTGCTGTTGCTCTACTTCTGGGGCCTCTTAGCTCAACTCACCTGAGGTTCCTTCCCTGCTGCCGAACCTCCCCATCCCAGCAACGGGAAGCTGGGGATTATCCCGCCTGCTTCTACCAAAGGAGAACCAGTCCAGGCACTCATCCCTCAGACCTCAAGCGGTGCAGATTCCTCGGACCCAGGAGCTGGGCTAGCATTCCCTACACGCCTCCTTCCCAGGTGGTTCTTTGTACCAGGTGGCTTGTGGGAATTCTTGGACTTTCCTTCCCCTGCTGGAGCTGAGCTATTGGCTTTCTCCCAAAGACCCCTACAGGGCATACAGCAGGCTGGAAATCTGTGTGTGGTGAACTGTGGCTGAAGCCTTATCAGCATTCCCTGTGACGGAAGCTGGTTCTTGCGTCCTTCCTGAGACTCTCTCCCCAGGCTCCACACACTTTGCAGACCAGGCCAGGCTAGAAGGTGGAAAGTCACAACCCTCCCAGAGCTGAGCGCCCACATCTAGCCAAGGCCAGGCTGTCACGGGCTGGTAGGAAACTGACTTGTGATTTGCTGGGGTGTGAAGGAGACTTGTTTACACTCCTGTCACCTAGAGTAAACACAGCCTGGAGGTCACTGTTAGAGACAGGCTGTGTCTTCCTGGTTCAGCACGTGCTTGCACATACACCCACCTGACACACCCCATACACACCACACACACACACACACACACACACACACATGCGCGCATACACACACATGCACGCATGCACACACTCACCCTCCCTATAGCCCCATTATGTAAGTACCTCTTTTGGCTGTAGCTAACTCTAGAAAGCGGCCCCTCCTTGACAGCTATAGCCCATAAGTTAATAATGATCATAGCATAATTATCTTTCTTCTGAGATATCAGCCACAGGACCCCAAGCCTGACTCATGTTAGGCAAGTGCCCAGCCGTGGAATACACCCCTAACCTGAGTAATAGCTTCATTGTCAGTTCCCATGGCCTGAACTTGTAAAATCCATAAATTCTGTGTCTTCCTGGAATCAAGACTCCGAGGGGCAGCAGAGCATACCCGATCCCACGGGCCCTTGTCAAGATCAGCTCCTGATTGGACAAGTTTGGAATGGGAAGAGGTTCAGAGTTTCTAGCAAGTTCCTGGTGAGGTCACCTGGTTGCTGTGGGCTGAGACAGCCGTCCTTAGACAAGGGCTACCTTTGCTGAACCACGTCCTCTTCAGTCCTACACTAGACTGCTGTCCTTTGGGCTGCTCTCCGTTTTTGCACGTCCCCTGCCCTACCTCCCTTCAGCATCCCCTTTGCCCTTGGACAAAGGCCTCTCTCTGGTGCTTAGGTCAGGCCTGCTAGGGCTTGCTGGAACAAACTGGCCTTTTCAGGTTCCTGTCATGTGAACCTGCTAATTAGCAAGGAAGGGCCTCATTAATGTCATTTGTGGGCTACATTCACATGGCCACCCCTTGTTGCTGATCCTCCGGTGGTGGGAGACAAAAAGT